GTATCTGTCTATGCAACTGAAAATTCCGACTGACTTGCCGGTGGGGGGGGGGAGTTTGAGGGGTGGAATGGAGTGAAGTCCAATCAGCTTCCATATGCAAAAGACCTTGAAATGCTGGGCGGGACTGCACAAAGCAGCCAGTCAACCCAGCCAGCGTCTTCTGACTGACAGTTCTTCTGGCCAAACACTAAAGGGGCCAAATTTAGAACGTTCAATATAGAACATTGCTATTCAATTATAATGGAGAGATACCTTTGTTTGAGCTTGAAAACGAATTGGTGGCCCAAAAGCCACCAGTATAGAATAGTCCTGCGCCATCTGTTAACATAGTAGCCACTGTTTCAGTTGAAGCATCTGGATCACCTACAGTTATACGAACTATTTATAGTTACAGTATTCTCTGGATGTTACCAAATCACGTGCAACTGTGACCAAGTCTGCCTTCACTAAAAAGGGTCAAAGTTGGCAAACTAGCCTAAATTTGTACAGGACACGCCAAACTACTTTGTTATGTGCTTATTCAGTGGATTCCAGAAACACACATTGGCTGCGAACCTTATATTTCAGAGGAAGTACATACCTCTACAGAACAAGCAGTATACCTGTTCCCAAGTGAACTTTTTCCCCTGGACAGCCCTTCCATTTTGTATAGATTAAGTTTTAGCCTTTTATTGATTCCTCTGAGAAAACCATAGTGTTAACTACCTGCCTAGAATTAAATGGAGAGGCTGATGGCCCCAAAGCTTTGAATGAGCTCTCTGTCTGCTTTTTATAGACATTAAGCAAAAGTACCCCAAAGGGCAAAGACCATGAGCCAAGATAGTAGTTCCCTAGTACTTCCTGTCATTTCTCTCTGGCAAAGAATTGAACAATTGTAGTTTCCTTCCAGGAGCCAAGGCATAAAACACCTCAGAACTATATTGCAATTGCTGGTCTCAAAAAAGTATGTGTTGTTGTTGTTTTTTGCTGCCATTGCTGCCACAGAGTAAGCGCAATATGACCTTGAATTTGTGCTTATGGTCTTGGTACTTGACCACTGATTTGAAAATACATAGGTAGGCACTTCTGAACCACTTTAGGTTTGAGCTTGCATTGGTTGCATTGCTAAGAGAGAAGGGACTAGAAATTATATGTGCAAGCAGGTATAAAAGGAAAGCAGACAAAGGTGAACATCCTATATAATATCTATGTGGAGAGAATTCCACCAGCACTTGAATGTTACAGCTTTCCATATGCACTTAATGTTTTCAAACTACTACTGTTTAATTGTTTTAAGTGTTAAGTCTATTCTCATTCCCATTACTACAGTTTGCAGTTAAACTCTTCAGAAAATGTACTGCTTGTGTGGCATAGTGGTTAAGAATGGGAACAATGATCCAAGAAACCACCCATTTCTTTCTCCCTCCATCCAAATGTCAGTTTAGCTATCAAGCATTAGGCTTTCAGCCAGTCAATATTTTTCAGCCTTGTCATCTATAATGGAGATATTAATGCTTGCTTACCTGATGTTAAAACTTGGGAGGCTTTATTAATGGTTGTGATAAGGTATCTGAACAAGTTTGTACTTAGCAAATACCATCTGCTATTCTCAAATAATTTGATAATAGAATAAATTATGTCCCATAATAAACTAAAAATGTTTGATTAGTTTTATTAGTTATATCCTTTCCCATGGAATTATTTATTCTCTAAGAACCACTTAAGCAGTTTTTGACTTGGTCATGGATAGATAGCATATACACTTAAGGTGTACACTGAGTAATTAGCATCCTATTCCCAGAGAGAAGGTATGGTATGACAATGAGGGAGGCTTCAGCGGGAGGAGGGATTTTATGGAGAGCCTGAGCAGAAGTGTCTCTTGCTGAGCAGAACAAGGCAAAGGATGCAGCCCATAATGTTTAGCTTGGTATAGCTGTGCACTCAGGAATTGTACACACAGTTCTTCTCAATATTGAAGTAAATGTGCCTGCACTAAAGTTTTGTATGCATATTGGAACACAGTTCAGCTTTTGATGAGACTGCAAAGGTTTGTTTGTGTATTTTTATTTTCAGAGCAATGTTGCTTCTTTAAAAACACCAACAAGAAAAGTCAAAGATTACTCCACTACAGGCCATGCAAATTCTCCTGCTCCAATTGTTGTAGGAAAAGCTCATACTAGTATAGTAAAGATGATTGCACAAGTCCCTAAAGTGATGTTCAACTATACTTTGCAGCAACAGCAAGACATGAATGAAAGTTTTACAGGTAAACTGATATTTGATTAAATTATATTTTGCTTATTATAGAATACATTTTTAAAAAATTAATCTCATGGGTTCACTTGTTTCTCATGAAAAACAGAGAGAATGTGACTGTAGAATGTTTGTTGCAGAATGGAAATCCCACCCACCTTTTAGCTAAGGAATAGGAAATGATTATGGTTACCCTAATATGTTGATTGCAATTTAATTTCTTGGTCTAAATGGTCTAAAATCAATTTTTAATCAAAATTTAATGGTCTAAAACAAATCTGATTTGATCAAGAATTTTAATTTTTTTTAAAAGGTACCTGTTCCAAGGTGCTTTTTGTACTGCTTAAAAACAATGCAAAGTTCTACAGAGGGGAAAAAAAAACAAATATTAAATAGACTTGTGTATATTTCCTCCACTCCTAATAACAGAACTTTGTTCAGGCTTCCTCTGGTTTTTGAGGTCTCATAAGGTTTTATATACTTTAAAGCAGAGTTGTCGAACTCATTTGTTACGAGGGCCGGTTCTGACATAAATGTCACTTTGTTGGGCCGGGCCATGTGTGCCATAAGATGTAACACAAATTACTGGGGTATAAACTTTATAAAGATGATTTCAGATGCCAAATGGCAATAGCAGGTGTGATTGGATTAGGTGTGATATGCAGAGGGGTGGAGATATCAGCATTGGTGGGCTATGCAGAGGCATGGAGATATCAGCATTGGTAATGAAGAAGAAGAAGAAGAGGAGATTGGATTTATACCTTCACTTGGAGTCTCAGAGCGGCTTACAAACTCCTTTCCCTTTCCTTCTCCACAACAAAGACACCCTGTGAGGCAGGTGGGGATGAGAGAGCTCTTTCCAGAACTGCCTTGAGAGAACAGCTCTGACAGAACTATGGCTTGCCCAAGGTCATCCAGCAGCTGCAAGTGGAGGAGTGGGGAATCAAACCCGGTTCTCCCAGATTAGAGTCCGTGCACTTAACCACTACACCAAACTGACTCTCATGAAACAGGAAAGCTAGGTCTCAATTTGGTATAGGGGGATTCAGTCCAGGAGGATGCAAAGAATAAATGGAAATAAGTCTGAAGAAGTGAGCAATGACTCACAAAAGTACATATCCTACCACAATTTTGTTAGTCTTTAAAGGTGCTAGTGGACTCTTTCTACTACTATTAGAAATCACAACATTCAAAAACCAGTACGGGAACATTTTAACCAACTAGGGCATTCAGTTGCTGACCTAGGAATAGCAGTTCTCTTACAAAGGAATTTCAAAGGGAGATTAGAGAGACTGTTGAATTGCAACTAATAATGAAACTCGAGACAATGCAGACTCTTGGACTGAACTGAGACCTAGGCTTCTCTCATTATCAATGCCTGCTATTGTCATTTGGTGTCTGAAATCACTTCACTCTCCAAGATATAAGGACAGATGGATTCACATTTCACCTGTATCTGAGGAAGTGAGAAGTTATTGATAAAAGCTGCTTTAAGGTGCTGCTGTACTCTTGTTCCCTTTCACTAAAAAGGAATGCAAGTTGTGCTGTTAGGTTTCCCTCCCCCATCTGAAATGAAAAGGGGGATCTCTCCAAGTGCCATAGGATTCCCCCCACCCTCCCGGGCAAGTTCTCTCTGGGTCATTCCTTCCCTCTTTCTTCCTCTCTGAAGAAGTGTGCTTGCCCACAAAAACCTATACCTGGAATGAAACGTTTTGATCTTAAACACATGAGTCTCTCCCTCCATCAGACTCTTGGAGAAATCAGTTCCCAACAACATTCACTCAGAAGAATGATAAGTTTATTGAGACATTGATAGGATCCAACCTGTACGTTTGCTGTGTTAGAACTGGGGGTGTGCAAAAAAAAATATCGGTAAAATTCGGATTTATTGGACCCATTTTTTTTTCGGGATTCCCGAAGAAACCCGAATATCTATACCAGCAAAGCATAGATATCCGAAAAAATTTTGGGATTCCCGAAAAATTTGGGTCCATTATATCTAATGGGGCCATTGAAGTCAATGGTAAAAATTGTCTGGAAAGTTTGCAGGGGGCTGGGGGGAGGGGGTTTGAGGTAGAGGCTCCATATTTGGACCGTGGCTGCTCCAGCCTCTCCCCAAAAGACCCCCAAGGTTTTGAGAAGATCGGTCCAGGGGTTCCAATTCCAGGGGCATCCAAAGAGGGTGCCCCCAGATCAGCTTGCTGCCTATTGCTGGTTTGCAGCCAAAATTATATCCTATGGGCCATTGTCACAATACATAGGTTATATTGGGGGTGGGAGGGGAGGGGCGCTTTACCGGTATAGATATTCTGAGGTTTTTTGGGGGGAATCCCAAAAAAATTCGGGTCCAATAAATCTAAATTTGAATTTTACCTAATTTGTTTTTTTGCACACTCCTAGAAGGGGGTTTGAGGGAGAGGCTCCAAACTCGGAGGGTGGCTGCTGGAACCTCTCCCCAAGATAACCACCAAGTGTCAAGAAGATTGGACCAGGGGGCCCAATTCTACAGGCCCCCAAACATGTTGCCCCCATCCCTCCATTGCTCTCTATGGTGGGAAAAAGTTACTTTTTTCCCACCATAGAGAACAATGGAGGGATGGGGGCAACCTGTTTGGGGGAGCATGTTTGCATTGTCAACCAGGCCCAGCACTGCAGCAGAACCATAGTGATCTGCCCCCCCAACCTGTGCCAAGGTGCCAGTCAGTGCCCAAAACCAACAGAACTTGGTTCAAACCAGAGAATCACTGCAGCAGCAGCCTACATAGACTGAGGGAGCATGTTTGTGCATTGCCAATGCCAGCCAGGCCCAGCAGCAGAACCAGAACAATCTCCCCCCCCCAACCTGTGCCAATGTGCCAAGCAGTGCCCAAAAAACCCCAAAACCAACAGAACCAGACAATCTCTCCCTGGTGTGCGATTCCCCACTCAGCACATTAAGAGAGGCAAAGGGAGGCCAGAGGAACCCAAATGGACCCAAATCAGAGTGGTTGCCAACTCTCCAGGGGGTGCCCAAAGGTTGAGATACCCACTTTCCTGGGTTGGGGAATCATCCAGAGGGGTCTCACTGTACCTCTAGGAAGGCAGTATGAATCCAGTGAGTGGTGGCAGCAACTAAGGAAGGAAAATAGCCCCACCCCCACCAGACAGGGGCAGCCGAAAACATCCCGAGCCACAGAACAGCTGGCTGCTCAGTCTCCCAGGGCTGAGGGTGGGTCCCCGTTCCCTCCAATGCTGGAAATTCACACAACTACCTCTCCTCCACACCCCCAGAGGCCCCTCCTCCATGCCCAGAAGGCGGCTACAAGTTGCCTAGCCTGGTTTGCAAATCCGCAGTTGCCCAGAGGCTGAAAAAAAAATTGGGAGTCGGACTCGGACCCCTGTTCAGGGGACAGCAGCAGAACCAGTGCACGGTGGCCCCCACAACCTGTGCAACCAGCCCTCGCAACAAATGAGTCTCTTCCTGACATCTTTGTGGCCAGAGTCATGGAATCACAGAGTTGGAAGGGACCTCCGGGGTCATCTAGTCCAACCCCCCCTGGACAAGGCAGAAAAATTCAAAAATACCTCCCCCTCCACACCCCAGCAGTGACCCCTGCTTCATGCCCAGAAGAGAGATGACTATTGACTACTAGCCTAGCCTGCTTTGGAAATCCAAAGGTGGATGGGAGACCTCCAAGGAATGCCAGGGTTGTTATATGGAGGCAGGCAATGGCAAACCACCTCTAAACATCGATTGCCCTGAAAATCCTATGGTGTCACTATAAGTTCACTGCAATTTGACAGCCCTGTCCACTTCCAAGCCTTTCAGTATACTAAATTCTGTACTTGCAGTATCCGTTCCTTTTCAGAGCTCCTCTGATCAATAGATCTTGAGCTAAAAGAGTATAGGGTATATATACTGCACTCTAATACCACTTTTTACATATTCAGAGTTTGCTCTGCAACTCCAAAATCTCATATTCCTCATCTGTTCCACTATTTGTGCCTGTTTTAGGATATACTAGAAAACAAACTATCCCAGAATTAAATCAAAATGTATTTACTTATTTTCTACCTTTATTTTCCCAGTGTTCTGTGATTGTACTTGTAATGTTTTTGCTCTTTTCTATGTGACCCCTTTATGTAAAGGCACCTCTCTATAGTGTTCTGAGGTGACATGTGTTATGCTGCCTCCTTGCCTTCCATATTTTCACTGCCACCAAAGGCTCTCACCTATGACAGAACGGTTGGACACAAAGCACAAGGGTGGCTTAGTTGTATATGGTAGAATGACAGAACAGTCAGCACGTGGGGTGACTCTGAGGTACAAGGGACTGTTTTACTCTAAAATAATCGTTTTTCTTAAACATGAATATAGTTTATTTGTAAGTAAAACAGCATAACAGTTTCTGTATAGGTAATAAGTATAATGGTTTCATTGGCAAAATGCCTCCTTAAACAGACTTAGCCATGGAGGTTTATTTTCTCACTTGCTACTTAGGCAAATAACTTCCACTAAGCTTAACTTCCCAACTTGCCACCCAGGCTCATCACATCCACACAGACTTATTTTCTTCACTTCCCACTTAGGCTCAGAACTTATTATTATTATTTATTGAATTTCTAAACTGCCCTCCCCCGTAGTTTTTAATGTACATTCCAATTAAAACATTGCAGTAAATAAGTTAATTAATGTAAAACCAGACAGTCACAACTTCTAATAAAACCAGTAAAACCATTAACCCTTTTAGGTGATGTTCTGCAAGTGGTCACCTTCCTTCAAGGGGTGGGGTCATGGGCCAGATGAGATGAAAAAACTGTTGCTGTATTCAACCATAAGCCTGGTGGAACATCTCTGTTTTGCACACCCTGTGGAACTGTACAAGGCCCTGCAGAGTACAGACGTCTCCAGGTAGACAGTTCCACCAGGCAGGAGCCAGGGCCAAAAAGGTAAAGGACTAGTTGCCAGCCTGGCAACCTTTGCGATCTGGGTCTCCATAAAGGAGGTATCCAGAAGCACACCCAGACTCTTGGCAACTGATACTGGTGTCGGTGGCACGCCATCATGAGCTGGGAGTTAGCATCCCAAGCTTGGATCGCTCCCACCCAGCCACAGGACCTCTGTCTTTGACAGATTCCGTTTCAGCCAGCTCTGTCAGAGCCAACCAGCCACGGTCTCTGATCTCTTAGGGAGATTTGGTGGGATGGCTGCTAGCCAGCCACCCATCAACAGATACAGCTGGGTGTCATCAGTGTACTGATGGCAGCCCAGCCCAAAACTGCACCAGCTGGGCAAGAGAGCCCATATAGATGTTAAACAGCATAGGAGAGAAGATTGCACCTTGGGGGATCCTGCACACCAATGCATGTCAGGGTGATACCCTCTGTCCATGACCATGGAGGAATTAAGTGAACCACTCCAAGGCTTCCACACAAAACACAGATTTCTCTCACACTCTGCAGCAACCCAGTCAAGCTCCTTCTGCCACACACACTACTCGCACAAAAGCTTATCTAACAACACGGTCAGCTCCACCCCCCAAGGGAACAGCTACCATCCGATTTTAACACACTTCACTCACCCATCTAGCTTCCTCTTTCTTACTGTACAAGCCTACATTTTAGATTATAGCAACTTACATTTAGTGGCAAAACACACTACTGCACCCTTTGTTGTTTGTAGTTTAAATTAATGGTTTATAAACAAATAGGCACAGTAGAAAAGAAAAAAGCAAATTCTAGTACCAGCATTTTAGCATTAAGGGCAGACAGTATTATAACTGAAGAGGGAATGATTGTATTTTTCTTTATCATGACTGTATGGGGCAGGAACTTGTAATGGGGAACTGGTGCAGTCATTTAACTCTCATCAGAGACCACTCTTGCTCATGGAACTGAGTTGTGTCTGCCTCCATCATGATTTAAAGGAAGGGGGGAAATTGGTCTGTGTAGGGCAGGGGGTTCTAACCTTTTTCAGCCTACAAACACATTTGGAAGGCTGACAGAGGGTAGTGGACGCAGTCACAAAACGGCTGCCTTGGGAGGTGGAGCCAACTACAAAATGTCAAGGAGTGAGGTTATGCATAATTTTGAAAATAGCTTATCAGTATTTTAGACAGAAGCTGTTTTTAATAGGGTGCCTTTTAAAATTAACATTGTTTTAAAGTATTTTCTTGCATATACACACAAAATAAGTATGCGTGAGGTAGCTAAGAAAACCCCTATCTGGCTGTATCTGGCTTTATTTTGCAGGCATCTAACACTCATGCAAAAGGGAAAAAAATGCTTTCCCTGGCTTCTTAGCCTTAGATACGCCCCTTCCCTCATGAGCCTAGACATTTTCAGCCTGCACTACTACTTTTAACAATGACAGTTGGTTCTGAGGGTTGGTCAGAGCTCATTGCACATGTGATGTGTATAGTAAAAGAGAAATTCTAGTCAGATTTTGATGGGAACATAAATGATTTTGAAGAGTTACCAAAATGCGTATTGGGACGTATTACTGACAGTCAAAATATATTGTTTAAGATAAACATGAACAAAATATTAAAAATACCACAATAAAGAACCGCTTAGTCTTTAACAACAGAAACTCCAACAATAAGCAAAATTGGGTGAGATAAGAATAGTCTTGATTTGCATGTAAATCAGAAGAGAATTGCAAGTAGATCTCCTTATTTTAGACTCCCTCCTTTTCTTTCTCCAGTATAATCTGATGTCAACAGTAAGTTTCCTCTCCCCTGCCACACCCCTCATGCATAAAAGGTCACAAAGCCTTCAGCCCTATTTTAGTTCTTAGGATAAGGAAGGAAAAGAGCTTTACACACACACCATTCAGGACAGCTCGTCAGCTTTCCTCTCAGGAGCTGGAGAGGAAGGCTTTACCCCCACAAACACCATAAGCCATCCTGTGTGCTTTTATCCGAGACACTGCATAGGGCAGGGGTATCAAACCTATGGCCTGCAGGCTGGAAGTGGCACCCCCAGGCCTTTAATCCAGCCTGGGAATGGGGCTCTCTTCTCTCCCCCCTCCCCTGCCCATCCTTGCTGTTCTGAGGTTAAGCTGCCTTGGAGTATAAAGAACAGAAGGTAGGGCTGCCTCTGAGAGCAGGAAGCAGAGGTCAAAGTTTCCAGCCACCACTCCCATCTATAGTTGTCCTCACAGGTAGGAGCTGCGGGGGGTTGGGTTCTGCTGTAATCCTTGTGCTTTTTTGAAAAAAAAACTTGCTTTGCAAAATCCCACTATTCCCCCACCTTTCCAATTTAGGCAGGCATGCTTTTAAGGGCATGGGGGGAAGGTTTGGAACCAGCCAGGGTTAAAATATAGAGTTCAACAAACTCAAGGGGTTCCAGTTTTGCAAAGCAATATTAGTTTTAATATTGGTAGCTTATCTCCCAGTCATTCCTGGTGGAATGAAAACTACCCTGGAAAGGGCCCTGCTTGTTCCGTTTTACTGACAGAAACCAAGGCTTCAAGGCTGGCAATGCTGTTCTGGCTGCAATTAGGCTATCACAACAGCTACTGAGAGAGTATTCATTTTTTTAAAGCTCCAGACGCTGATTCTCTTATTGAGATAGGGCTAATCTCTTGATGTACTGTTTTTAGATTTCATATTGTTCTGCAAACCTTGGGGCTTTTTTCTGCTTTAATGGCTCCAATCTCTGGATTTAAGGACTGCGAACCCCACCCACGTACGATTGGGCTAGAAGGAGCTGGCTAGGGACCAAAGCCTTTCCAAGGAAAAGAGAGGAGATAGCTATGCCACACTAAAACTGTTTACTGAACTTCTAAAACTTACTAAAACTGTTTACTGAGCAAAGAAAATTCTTAATACAAGCAATACAAAGTGAGCTCAATACCTAAACAGTGTACTTGTAGAGGAATATTCCTGTCTGTCAGCCAAACTCACACTGAAATCTCGGGAGTCTTTGGCTGGCAGCCCAGAGTAATGAAAACACAAGTAATATATACTGAATTCTTAAAAGTTATACTTTTTTTGCTCTTGGTTGCATACAGACAAAATGAGTGCTAACTGAACTTTAAATACTATTTGTAGGGATGACTGAGATGTTCCATACTCCACTGAACTGGAAGCAAGGAAGTGCTCTGTCTTCTGTGCAAAAGTCTAGTATGTCAAGTCCAGAAGAAGCATCAGAAATTCACACTCCAGAGGAATCTGGTATGCATCTCTTTGTAACATACCTAGTGATAAAGCTCATATATTTGTGTTACCCTACTGCTAAAAATCACAAACAAGGTTGTAAATAGTGCTTCTAAGAGCTTTCTATAAGACTACTTGGATGAATTTTCACAATTGAAGGAAAGATCCCTAATCATGTCTGATTCTATTTAGAGTCCTCTCTATGCACTGTCTGAGAACTTTTGATAAAATTGCAAGCAAGTTTATGTGAGATCTGGCAAATTCTCATTCAATGTTTTCATACAGTATTTTGTTGGTCTTATAGATTAGATTTAAGAAATATGTGTAGTCCTCAGTGGAGGGAATATGAAAAACCTATTTCCCCTGATTTTTTTCCCCCGGGGCCTTCATATCTCATAAGTATGGCTGCCTTATTTGGGCTACTTTTGGAGCTGGCTTCTTTGGCTTGTTTTCAATGTGATCAATTTAAGATTTGTTACATAAGCCACTTTGAGGCCAGTTCCTGGGGAAAAGGGAGAAAAATATTTTAAATAAAATCTGGGTAAGTGGAGGTCTTTTCTCCTGGAATACATTATTAGTTCAAGGAGCCTGTTTGTTACCAGGAGAGGGACCTACTGACTGCCCTTCTTCCCTTATTAAAAACAGTAGCATGATTTAAATTTAAAGACAGCCTTCACCAACAGTTTACTGAAAGATTTCTTCAATTGTATATTTCGAATAGGGGAGATGACAGTGTCTACTTCAAATCTATCAATCCAGCAAATATATGACAATCAAGATGAATCCCCCATCCTGAGAAAAGTATCTCAGATTTCTACTGTTGGTCAACATGAATTGAAGGTTCCCAGAGGAGGGAGTTCTGCATTAGACAAGACTGTAAGGGAAAATAGCTCACTGGTAACAGGAGAAACTGTGGGAATGGAAGAAATGATAAGAGATCCAAAGGAAAAATCAGATTGCATTGAGGCACATTCAGGAACAAAGAGGCTTGTGAGGACCCCCAAGCAAGAGCCAATGCTGACTGATGCACTTTCAGGCCTTAAGAGGCTGTTCAGGACTCCCAAGCAAAAGCCAGAGCCAGTTGACGCTCTTTCAGGAGTCAAGAGGCTTCTCAAGACCCCCAAGCAAAAGCCAGAGCAGGCTGAGGCCCTTTCAGGAGTCAAGAAGCTGCTCAGGACCCCCAAGCAAAAGTCAGAGCCAGTTGATGCTCCTTCAGGAGTCAAGAGGCTTCTAAAGACCCCCAAGCAAAAGCCAGAGCAGGTTGAGGCCCTTTCAGGAGTCAAGGGGCTGTTCAGGACCCCCAAGCAAGACCCAGAATCAGGCAAGGAGCTTTCAGGAGTCAAGAGAGTGCTCGGGACCCCAAAGCCAGAGCCAGTCGAGGCCCTTTCAGGAGTCAAGGGGCTGTTCAGGACCCCCAAGCAAGACCCAGAATCAGGCAAGGAGCTTTCAGGAGTCAAGAGAGTGCTCGGGACCCCAAAGCCAGAGCCAGTCGAGGCCCTTTCAGGAACCAAGAGGCTGCTGAGGACCCCCAAGCAAGACCCAGAATTGGGTGAGGAGCTTTCAGGAGTCAAGAGAGTGCTGAGGACCCCCAAGCAAGACCCAGAATTGGGTGAGGAGCTTTCAGGAGTCAAGAGAGTGCTCGGGACCCCAAAGCCAGAGCCAGTCGAGGCCCTTTCAGGAACCAAGAGGCTGCTGAGGACCCCCAAGCAAGACCCAGAATTGGGTGAGGAGCTTTCAGGAGTCAAGAGAGTGCTGAGGACCCCCAAGCAAGACCCAGAATTGGGTGAGGAGCTTTCAGGAGTCAAGAGAGTGCTCGGGACCCCAAAGCCAGAGCCAGTCGAGGCCCTTTCAGGAACCAAGAGGCTGCTGAGGACCCCCAAGCAAGACCCAGAATTGGGTGAGGAGCTTTCAGGAGTCAAGAGGCTCCTTAGGACACCTAATCACAAAGCAGAACCTGTCAAGGATGACATTTGCTCCAAACATTTGAATAGTCCAGAAGGATTATTTGGTCTTAATAATGTTACAAAAGAACAAAAGGAAAAAATTGGACTTTTGGAAGATATGGAAGGAATTCAGAGGCTATTTAGGACACCTAAACAAAAATTTGAACCAGTGGAAGATATGATTGGTATTTCCAGAATATTGAAGACACCAAAGCAAAAGTTTATGCCAGTTGATGACTATTTGGGATTGCAAAAACTTATGGCTGAACCTAAGCAGAATTCTCTCAGTGGTGAAATAGACTACACGGGTGTTAAAGAACTGTTGGGACCTGTAGACGGATATCTGGTAAGTGCGTACTTCCAACAGTAGCATATTCCACAATTCATCTTTATATACTCCTGCAATACATCAATGTCAGTTGCTGCACACTAGTTTTGTATGTGTAAAGATGAAGGTATATTGCATAGCACAAAAATCTGCTCTTAGTTATCTCTGTAAAGCATTTGGCATGCACAGTATAGGTATAATTGTGATATTGAGCGGATTGTATAGCTTAAAATATTCCAAGATCTCTTGTGTTCAGTGCTTGAAAGTATATACAGTAAGCATATTTTTGATTAAGTCTCTCAGAATATGGTTCAACAAAGCATCATATCAAGCTGTGATGTAAGCAAGAACATATGTGCTTGTGCTGAAAAGCCTGTTATGTAGCCTAATACCTCTATAATTCTTTTAGGTCAAATTATCAGAATCTGTGAATAAACCACATGAGATTTCCAGCAATGAATTTGGTATGTATAAATATATTCTGGTAAAATCTTTAATTTGTAGCACAAATGTATAAATTGCGTGTAACTTGCAGTACTTTCAAAGAAGGATATGGATTTGTCTGTGGTTTATTAATAGTTTCCTAACAGCTTTATATATACCTGCTTGCTACAGTCTGTATCAGTGATACACAGGAGCCATGTGTGGCTCTTTTAAATGCCACTATGGCTCCCCTAGGCACTGTTCCACAATGTAGCACCTGCTTTCATGTTCCAGGAAGGAGAGCAAGCTATTGTCATATAGGGCTTGTGATTAGCAGGTTACTTCGACCTTGAACCAGCCACTGTCACAGGTACTTGAGAGGTTCAGGCCTTGTGCCAGGGATAGAAGTAAGGGGCCTATTCTTTCCAACAGTACTCTTACCCTTTACTGCAGTCTCTGTACTCTCATCACAGCACCTGGGCAGCTATTAGGAGAAGAAAAGGCTGGCGACCGAGAAGAGAGTACAATCAGCACCAACCAGGAAGAGTGCAAGTTGGACACAGTAGCGTAGCAGTAGTTTTTCTTCCGTTTCTCCAAGGCCAGTTTCCTTTCCTCCATGAGCATTAACAATCTCTCTGTATTACCTGAACATCTTTTCCTCATGCCGATGAGAGAGCAAGAAAGCTAAGAGGGAAGCCCTTCCTCTTACTTTGGATACACAGGGGCTGGCTATGGTTCAAGTGTAGTGGAGAGAGATACCAGGCTGCTTCTGATCATGTAAGGTTAATTTAAAAGATTATTTTTATGTTGTTTAATATTAATAGTTATGTATTGTATTTGTGTATTTGGGGTGGCTCATAGGACATACAATAATCATGTAGTTCTTTGGTTGGTGGTAATTGTGAGATCTCAGTGCAAATGTGAACCACCATATGGGCCTGGGTTGCTAGTATATTGACTTAATCTGCCATCATATATAGGATGCCACAATCAGCATAGAAATCTGTTCAGTTATCTAAGGACCACAGGTTGATTTGGCTTGGAGATCAGTGTTTTCTCATGTGGAATGAAATCTGTATTCCAGCAAGTAGTACTGTTTAGTAACATAAAAAGAAGGCACAATCTAATACTTTCTAAGTCCCATTAGAATAAATAAAAATAAGAACCCGAGAACTAAGAGAAGTAATATGCAGAAGACCCCACAAGCAAGTTATAAATGGTAGACGAGGCAAAACCCAGATAGTCTGTTAAATATAATTGGTGTGATACTTGGACTTTGATACCCCTAAGAGGAAGTATATAGAATTACAGAGATTTGCCATGGCAAAAGTAAGCTTCAGCCAGTTACTAAATACATTGTATTCGGTAGTATTCTCCTCTGTATAATTATCACAAAGCTATGCATAGGGAATTCTGGAAGATGAAGATTATCTGTAGCCTGTTGTGAAAATGTTTGCTAGTATTATATGACTTACCATCGATGTTTTTCCAAAACAAAATCATGAAGCCACACAAATGTCTGTAGAATTTTGTGGGTAATAAAAGTGCTTCTATTACTTTGAACAGTCATTGCCATCTCACAAATAACTTTGATTGTGCGTGGTACAAAATATTTAGTGCTTTTGCCTTTCTGAATATTACTTATTAATTATTTTAGAGTGCAAAGAAGATGATCCTGAAAGAGAAGAGTCTTGGCAAGAAACAGGACTGGAAGATTCATTTGAAAAAAAATCTCCAAATGCAATGCCAAGGAAGCCTGATGATGGTCATGATGAATTACAAGATTACTTGGGACACACTTCATGTAGCTCAGTTAATGATGTAAAGGGGGCACGTGTAGAAAGTATTGCGACAGTCCAACTTGTATCAGAAATATGCAAGTCAGATGGGCTGGATTTCCAAAGTGGAGCTGTTATTGATCTGATTGAAGAATCATCTGTAAGGCAGGGCGATCCAGTGGAAATAAACGCAGAAATAAAGGAACTATTGGCTTCAGTTAAAAAACCAAGAAAAGGGAAAGCTAGTGAATTCAGTTTTGTGGAAGAACGTGATACAACTAAGACACCAAGGCAGACAAGAAAAAGTAGCAGAGCCAAATCAGTGAACTGTATGCAAATAAATGAAAATTTTGATCAGAATATTCCTGAAACTAGTCAACCAAAAGAATCAGACAGCAACCCCCTAGCACTTGAAAATGAGACAACAGAAAGATTAAGAGAAAAATCTATTGAAACAAATGGGGATATGGACTTTGATAACATGAAACATACTCAAAAACTATTGGGACTTTCAAAGGAAATGTCAGATGAAACACAGCTGTCTGTTAGCAGGAGAAGGGTGGCAACTAAACTAAATAGGCGAGCTGAAGAAGGCTTGCATTTAGAAGAAAATGCAACAGACCAAGAATATGCAAATCAATTAATTTCAAAAACATCTCTGAGATCTAGAAATCAGAAAAATAAAGATGAACCAAAGTCTGAATTTACAAAAACAAGTCCCCAAGGAGAAATGCAAAGCTCAAATCTTGAAACTTCAAAGAGAAATTCTGGAAACCAGCTACTTAAAAAAAATACAAGGAGAAGAAAGGCTACCTCAGTAGAAACAGAAATGGAAGACGTTGATGGTGAGAAACACTCATCACCTAAAATTTGTAAACTGAAAACTTTGGAGCATCATCCAACAGAAATGAAGGAGGGTGAAATAAGGAGAAGGAAGAGGGGAAGGGTTTGTTTTCTGCTTGAGAAAGGTACTTCTGAAACTCCTGAAGAGAAATGTGTGTTTGATGGCGAAGGTGGTACTCAACAAGAACAATACAGTGCATTTTCTGAAAGAAACACTTCCCCTGTAAAAGAAAATACATCACCAAAAAACAAAAAGGAGGAAGCAGCTCCAGTTGTATCACTATCATTTTGCACCTCGTTTTCTTCAGAGATACTGAAGAATGCAGCTGGTGAATCCAGTTTTACAGAAGAACATGATACAACTAAGACACCAAGGCAGACAAGAAACAGCAGTAGAGCCAAATTAACAAACTGTACGCAAACAAATGAAAACTTTGATCAGAACATTCCTGAAACTAGTCAACCAAAAGAATCAGACAGCAACCCCCTAGCACTTGAAAATGAGACAACAGAAAGATTAAGAGAAAAATCTATTGAAACAAATGGGGATATGGACTTTGATAACATGAAACATACTCAAAAACTATTGGGACTTTCAAAGGAGATGTCAGTTGAAACACAGCTGTCTGTTAGCAGGAGAAAGGTGGTGGCTAAACTAAATAGGCGAACTGAAGAAAGCTTGCATTTAGAAGAAAATGCAGCAGACCAAGAATATGCAAATCAATTAATTTCAAAAACATCTCTGAGATCTAGAAATCAGAAAAATAAAGATGAACCAAAGTCTGAATTTACAAAAACAAGTCCCCAAGGAGAAATGCAAAGCTCAAATCTTGAAACTTCAAAGAGAAATTCTGGAAATCAGCTACTTAAAAAAAATACAAGGAGAAGAAAGGCTGCCTCAGTACAAACAGAAATGGAAGCAGTTGATGGTGAGAAACACACATCACCTAAAATTTGTAAGCTGGAAACTTTGGAGACTCATCCAACAGAAATGAAAGAAGATGTAATAAGGAGAAGAAAGAGGGGAAAGGTTTGTTTTTTGCTTGAGAAAGGTACTTCTGAAACTCCTGAAGATAAATGTGTGTTTGGTGGCAAGGGTGGTACTCAACAAGAACAATACAATGCATTTTCTGAATGCACTTCCCCTATAGAAGAGGATACATCACCATTGCTTAATATGCAAATATCTGTTGAGCATAGTTCACCAAAAACACAAAAGGTAGCAGTACCAAAAAGGAACCCACCTAGAAGAGGTAGAAGCAGAGCAGCTTCTCCTAAGCCACCCACTGAGAATGCCAGTAAAGTGACTCCTAAAATTGAAAAACAGCCTATGAGTGTTGAAAATGCTATTTTTTCAAATGAGAAGCATTCCAAAAGGGGTAGAGGGAGAAAGGTTGCCCCTGTATCCCAAACACTGGAAACACCTACTGTTCCTAAAGAGGACCCATCAACTGGAAGCTCTGTTTTTGCTCAAGGAGAGTGTTTGCAAGGCACTCAAAATGAAAATAATTTTAATGAAGTCCAAAAAGTATGCTTGGACAATATTCAGGCTATTGTAGAACACATTCGACCTAAGAGACAAAAGGTAACAAGAGGGAATTTGCTTCAGAATGACAGAAGTAAGCAAGGAGTTTCACATGAACCAGCCATGGAAAGTGATAATAAAGAAAATCCTGATGTTGAAAACCAAGATGTGGTTGTTGAAAATGCTTTTACTGCAAAAGAGAATCAACCAAAAAGGGGTAGAAGGAAAAAAATTGCCTCTGTGACCCAAACAAGGAAAAACCTTACTGTTCCTAAAGAGGACACATCAACTGGTAGCTTCAGTTTTGCTCAAAAGAAGTTTTTGCAAGATACTCAGAATGAAGAGAAATCTGATGAAACCCAGACCGTAGTCTTGGACAATATTGAGTCTTCTGTAGAACACATTTTACCAAAAAGGCAAAAGGTGGCAAGAGGGAATCTGCGTCAGAGAGGCAGAAGCAAGCAAGTAGTTTCTGATGAACAATCCACAGAAAAGGATAATAAAGACACACCTGATGTTGTAAACCAAGATATGGTTGTTGAAAATGCTTTTACTGTAAAAGAGAATCAGCCAAAAAGAGGTAGAGGGAGAAAAGTTGCTGCTGTACCCCAAATACTTGAAAGTAACAATTTTCCATACAAAGACAAAAGCGGAGCAGAAGAGCAAGCTGAAGCTTTGGAAATAGCAACTACTGCAAATAAGAATCCATCCCATAGGGGCAGATGCAGAAAAACACTTATAACAAGCTCAGTTCCTTCCAGTAAAGAACCTAGAATGGTCGATAATGTTAACCAGGAAGAAATGGCCCGTGTGTTAAAAGATGTGACAAAAGAAAATGTGTCCAAAAAGGGTAGAAGAGAACTACCTGTTTATGAAGCCCCAACAGAAACTAATATCCCGCAAAGAGCTACTGGTAGCAAACCAATACGAGTAAAAGGCAAAAAGGTGTCTGCAGATTCTCTCTTTGAAAGCCAGTCAAAGAGGAGTCAAGGGAAAAATATTGTTCTGGCATTCCAAACACCTACCTCTCCTGCCCTCAAAATAAGCATCACTTTGCCTTCACCATCAGGCAAAAATGAAACTGCCAGTGAAAATCAAAACTTATTTATAGAAAATCATGTTGCTGGAAAAGAGAATTTGGCAATAAATGGCGGAAGAGATAAGAAAATAGTGCCTCGTTCCACATCTGTCAGAAGAAAATGCAAGCTTCCTAAAGAAGAGGATGAGGGTCAGGAAAATCAAAATATAAATATAGAAAAGCCAGGTGTATCGAATGACAAACGGAGCAGAAGAGCAATGAGAAAAGGTGGTGCTCCTGAAAAAGGTGGATTGCCTGAAGGTACTGATGGTATTCCTAAGGATCAACAAGTGATTATGGCAAATACTATTTCTGGGATGGAAGATGCCTCACAGGGTAGGAGAAACCGAATTCTTAAAGGAAAGAACATGCCAAAACACAGTGACCAAAAGAAAGATCTGGAAATCACCACACTTCCCCAGGGAAAAGAAAATTCATCTAAACGAGGAAGAAGGAAACCGGTCAGCACTGAGTCAGAAACACACAGCACCATTTCTGGCATGAAGAAATGCCTTTTTGCCGAAAATATGACATCAGCGCCTGAAGCAGGTATTACAATTTTTTCTTTTTCTGTTTCAGAGAGTTGTGTTCTTAAAGAATGACATATTAATTTCTCTTCCTTGATTCAATATACTTAGTGCAAAGTATACTTAGTGCATCCCTGTTTGGATGAAAGGGAGAGACTGGTGATGCAGTTGAAACATAAACAGCCAATTTCATTTAAAAATGTTTTATGGATAGAGGTCTTTTCAATAAATTGCAAAAGAGTTGCAAGACTCTTGGTATGCTGTTTGGGACTAATAATAAGTAATTTTACAAATCCACGTACAAAATCTTAGTATTAGAAATTTCTGTACAAAAAACGAAGTATATATTCAAGTGCAAATTCTATACAAAATCCTCTAACCTAACCTGCTGCCTGCGGGCTCTAACACCTACCACGCGCATGGGGATTTGGACTTGAGAATACACTTAGAATTTTGTATAGGATTTGTGCTTGAGTATATACTTAGATCTTTGTGTGTATGGAAATTTCTTATACTAAGATTTTGTACATGGATTTGTAAAATTAAGTTATGTAGAAATTGCGGCTGTTATACATGTGTACTTATAAGATTTGACAAAACAGTATTTGATGCAGCAAGGTTCTAGTTCAAGATTTTTTGCACTCTACTGAATTTCTTTATACGATGTTGTAAGAAGATCTCACAGGATTCACTTGTGTAGATTTGAATTTCTGCTTTAATTGCCTTTTTCTTCCTCCCTTTGCTTGCTTCCGTCTCTCCCCTTCTCTAACAATTTTCTCCTTCTTCCTTACCCCCCTCTTCTCTGTCAGTCTTTCCTCCTCTCTTATTTCTCTTCCCTTCTCTGACAATCCTCCTCTTTCTTCCTCTCCCCTTACCTTTCAACCTACCCCCTCTTTTGCCCCCTTCTCCATCAATCTCCCCCTCCCCTTGTCTGTCAACCTCCCCCCATATCCCCTTCTCTGACAGTCCTTCCTATTTCTTCCTCCCTCCCCTTCTCCGTCCCCCCTCTCTATTTGTCCCCCCTTCCCTTTATGACAATCCACCCTTCTTGTCAATATTCTCCCCCATCTCTTTCTGCCCCCTTCTTACTTTACTGGCAGAAGCAGCTGTGGTGTCTAAGCTAAGCCAGGCGTGGCTTCAGGCCTGGCTGCAGCAGTGTCTGGGAGCTGTTCTGGGCCCAGAACTGCTACTGGCAGCTGTGGAAGATGTCAGAGTCTTCTGCAAACCTGGGTGGATCCCCAAGTTCATAAGAAAATCTGTTTAGAGTCAGTGTGGCTCTGATCCACGGATTTACATGGGGGCCACACTTGAGAAATTGGTGTATGGATACATATTGAAAGTTCTTGGAAAAACTTTGTTTCCCCAAGGACAAATGGAAATATGTCATATGTATTTTCTTATCTGAGCTTTACTTTTTTAAGAACAGAAAAGGAATTATTTAAAACCTTGCACAACTCATAGTTCTACAGTATATTTATGGAATCTGAAAGGCTTTGTTTTACTTCAACTAGTAGAAAAACACTCCAGTATTAGAGTTGGAAAGCACTGTACCTAAGGTAAACTTATTTCAGTCTCTGGGATTAGACTGGGATAACTCTGTCTAGGATTGCACCGTAAATGTGTCTTAATCTTTCCAGTTAGAAAAAATAAGGGGGAAAGTTGAAAAGAAAAGCCATCAACATTGTAGTACTTTATTTTAACTTGGAGTTAGAAATGGTCTCTTCTACATCCTGATAGTTTCATTATTATGGCTTTTTGCCTCGTACTTATCTTAAACTCAAGCCTCTTTGCATTGTATATTTGTGCCCTGATTCATGTTCTACTTGTTGGTGTTTGTGCTTTCTGTCTTCTGATAGAATGTGTTTTTAATTTTGTATCAAGTTCATTAGCCTAAAATAGCATCTAGGTAGGGTTAAATACAATTTTTGATATAGAAGTTTGACTTTTTGAAATGTTCCGTGTCTTGTTTGCAAATAGAGAACACTGAAAGTACATTACAGAAAGGAAGAAGAAAGAAAATGAAAGAAGAGCATATGTCAGTTATCACTGAGTCTGCTGCAGAAACTCAAACCAAGATTATAGCAACCAGAAGGACAAGAAAACAAGTATTATAATCTTTGATAGTGGGCTCTATAATTTTTCTTCAGGGTAAATGGGTGCGCTTCAAGATTTTTTTAAATGCAAGGTTGTAAAGTATACTCTGGATTTAGATGGAATACATTCTACTTTATATAACTCACTTCTTGGCTAATTGTTGACATTGAAAATATGCAAAGCTGTGTAAATTCTTAAATATTTTGTAGGAACTAAGCAGGGATGAGGGAATTTTTAAATGCTATGTTTTACATTGTCTTAAATTTAAATTTTTGTTGATGTTTTATATTTGTGTTTGACATTAAACAGTGTATTTACGTAATAGTGTGTGTTTCTACTTATCCTTTTTATGATACAAAGCTGATGTCTTTCAGAAGTTAGACTGCATTCTATAGTCTCTCAAAAGCTACTCAACATTAGTCCTGAAAGAGCACAGAAGAACAGTAGTAGCCAGGTCGGTAGTACTTAGCAGCTGCATAACTACCCTGTCAGTCATCCATCTGCCATACCATTGCAAACATCCAGGGAAAGCACCAATATTTGTATAACACTCCATGAAACTGCAGAGCGGTCGGGTTAGAACGGATAAAAGGAAGTACTTCTTCACCCAAAAAGTGATTAACACATGGAATTCACTGCCACAGGAAGGGGTGGTGGCTACAAGCATGGACGGCTTCAAAAGGGAATTAGATAAGCATATGGAGCAGAGGTCCATCAGTGGATATTAGCCACAAGGTATAGCTAGGGGCTCTGGGGCAAGTGATGCTCTGTCTTCTTGGTGCTTGGGGGGGGTCAACAGTGGGAGGGCTTCTAATGTCCTGGCCCCACTGCTGGACCTCCTGATGGCACTGGTATTTCTGGCCACTGTGTGACACAGAGTGTTGGACTGGATGGGCCTTTGGCCTGATCCAACATTGGCGTCTCTTATGTTCTTATAACAGCATTGGGAAGCTGGTGGCATCCAGTCTGTTCTTCGTCACCTATCACATAAACATGTTAACTCTTCCTCTAAGATGTGGATTTGAGTAGGCTATCGTTCATCCTTTTCAGCATCATGATTGATATTATACTCTGATATACAATTTGAACATCGTATATGACTATTCAATCCATAATGTATTGTTGAAAGTATCCTTGTGACTAGGCCTTTTTTGTAATACAACAATCTTCTTCGTGGTCTCTGTGTATCACCTCTGGGATATAGTGTGCCTGCGCCGACCTCAATCAGTTCATCTTGAAAAGCAAACGGGATTTTCGCACCCGCTCCCTCGTCACGTGCCGACCCCACTGTGCATGACTAAGGGAGGGGCACAACAATCCTGCCAGTTCTCTTCTGTCTGCCGCGCTGGTAGGATCTTCTCCGCTTTGGTCAATAAAAATTTGGGCTTTGAGGCTTATTCCTTTTCTCTCTTCGAAGTTTCTTCATTTTCTTCTTGTTTATTTTTTGTTAAGTGAAAGGACTTTGTTACTACGGATTTATTTCCTTTGGGACTCTGTCGTTTGGTCGTCTTTTCCCCCCTAAGACCGTGTGTCTCCCCCCCTCCTGGCCTATGGCCAAGAGGTGGTTTATTTAAAAAGTGCCTAAAGTGCAGTAGCAAAATCCCCCCCCCCTGGACACTCTCTTTGTCTTTTGTGCCTCGGGGGATCACACCGAGTGGACTCTTGTGCTCATTGCACGAAGTTCTCAAAGCAGACAAGGAAGAACAGAGCTGCCAGACTTCGTGTTGCGCTTTTGGAGTTAGCGCTTTTGGTCCTCTCCTTTTTATTACGTTGAGACTGATGGCAGTGGTCAGAAGGAACTGGTGGGATTGTCATGCCTCTCCCTTAGTCATGTGCAGTGGGGCCGGCGCATGACGAGGGAGTGGCCGCGAAAATCCCTTTCTCTTTTCAAGAGGAACCGATTGAGGTCGGCGCAGGCGCGCACTATATCCCAGAGGTGTGAATGCACAGATGACCACTCAAAGATCATCAGTTACAGGTAAGGAACCTGTTTATCTCTTCCCCCACCCCCAATTCCAAGCTGCTGGATGTTCATTGTTACTATACGCATTGTCAGGTCAGTGGTACCAGTTGCCATGATGCAAAGGAGTGCCCCTGCCCTTCAGTTCTCTTTTCACCAGGAAGAAGAGGGCTTATCATTTCTTCACGGGTATTTTGTTTTTTGTTGTAGAGTCAAAGTGTCTCAAATCTCAAGTGTGAGCATTGTGGCACTAAAATGGCCTATACTGATGACCACACCTACATCCAAAGAGTAATGGTAGGCTTATTCATGTAGCTACATTTGTACTTCTAGCAATAGAAAATTTAAAGGGATTTTTTTAAAACTACAGATTATGTAAACTTGAATGTAGCTTTGGAAATAGTCTACACTGGCTCTGCACATGGTCGTTTGTGGACTTTGGACAGAGAGACTATGACTAATCCTATCATGGGGCATATTCAAGGCTCTGGAATTTTCAGATAAACTGTATAATTCTACCTTAGCTACCTGCTAGTACATTTCTTTCAAACATCAGTATAACTTGCATAGAAACCTGCCCTGAACAATAGAAAGCTTTTCTGACACTTCAGAAATACTTGCTACTATGCTGCAGATATGAATCGGAGACAAAACATCAAAAGCTGTGCTTGGAAAATGATGAAATTGGTAAACACAAAACCATAGACCAAAAGTATCTTCTAAATGGGGTCTGCTCAAGTAGGTGAAGTGCAACTCTCAAATAAAAAGGAAAGAATTTCTATTGCTGGCTACTAGTTTGTATAATAGCTAGTAAGACTCTGCCTCTTCCCAAAGCCAGGTATGTCAGAACTTATTGGGAAATGCCATAGTCTCTCAAGTAAACATACCACATTTATTCCTAGCATCCTTCCATCTCTGTTGTGAACTTGTAATTTGGATGCAGATAAAATAGTATCTGGAATATGCCCAAAGTGGTGACTACATGGTCTTGTTCTTATGTAGAATAGACATTCCTGTGAACCATGGTGACAGCAGTCTGCTCGCAAAGCCATTGTTCATGGTCCAAAAACGTAAAAATTGTTTCAAATCTGCTATTTAGGTGGAGAAGTATCCGCCCAACAAAAAAATAATTGGAAACCTTAAAATGGAGAACTGTAGATATTTAGGATCCAACTTTTTGCTTGTGGTAGAAGCTAATTGTATATTAAGTCCAGGCATGTAAGCACGGTGTACAAAGTAGTTGATAGCTTCGACTCACTGTGACTGCCAAGGTTACAAAGATTTCCACCCTGGGACTTTTTGTATCTATTAGATATATGAAATGCATCTCTGCCTCCTTTCAATATTAGCTTTATGAGTTTGCAGGCCTAATTAAATGTTAGTAGACAGTGTTTGTTGACTGTTCTATTCACACATGGTATGAATTTGGCCTTTCACTTCAAGTACTTAAGTGCAATTATTCATGCAGAAATGAGGGGCATGTGTATATTTGGTTGAATTCTGAAGCCAATGCTACTAGATCAGTTAAGAATTAGCTGAATGAATTCTTTAGGAGCAGTTGTTTAGCACAGAGTAACTTAATACATGTATACAATTCTGTGTGCTGCTATTAGGTTTGAAAGAAATCACTTTATTTTTTAATTTTTAAAAACTTGTTGAATTCTAAGGTTTTGCCAAAAATTCTGTTGATACCTAAACTCACCTTCAGGACTATTCATGTGTGTGATAGGTAAAGGACTATTCTATACCAGACGTGGGGGGCGGGGAGCCTCAGAGAAGCTTGGCCCTGGTACCTTGCTTCAGGCCACTCTTTAGGTTGACCAATGTCCCCATTGGGCAGGTAAGTTCTCTGGATATTTGGAAACTGCCTGCTGGCACATCAGGGATGTCATTGACTGTCCACTCCACAGCTCCGTGTATGTGCAGCCAACATGACAGCTAACATTTTTATTTTTGTTTTAAACTTAATGTTCCTAGTAGCAAATGAGGCTAAAGGCATGACAAAGGACAAAGAATATCTTGATTCAATTCATTGCATTTAATTCTAATTTAAATTTAACATTTCTTAGTTGAGCTGCAAAAATAGTTCCATCCATTTCTTTTATTGACATATGTAGATTCCTATTTTAAATGGAAACATTTCTTATCTCTGTTGAGCCCTGCAACGTGCACTTTTACCAGCCTACTGGTTTCAAACGGAAGTACTAACACTTCTCAGAGAGTAACACCTTAGTTCCTGTAGGTGAATGCATATATGAATTCTTTGGTCTCTGTGTAGGTGTGGTAAAGGAGCCTCACCAACACATTTTTACCATGAGGAAAGGAATAGTTAATCAGCTGGCCCGGTCTCAAACTGCTGACCATATGCTCCCACCCACCCCTTTCACAGATAGATTACTTCTGCTCAAATAGATTACTCTCTGCTGCCACCAACAGGTTAATAGGTCTAGTGAACTGAAATCAGATTCTATTCAAAGTCAAAAGTTTCCAACCTGGGAGAAGGGAAACCTTAGTATTTCTAGTGTGTGATTTCTGTCAGGTAAGCAGGTACTCTTTCTGTTTGCACCTCATACAAGGCCTAATCTTGACTAGGGGTGTGCAAAAAAAAAAAATTTGGATTCGGGTTTACTGGACCCGAATTTTTTCGGGATACCCGAAAAAACCCGAATATCTATATCGGTAAAGCATAGATATCCGAAATTTTTCGGAAAACCCGAAAAATTCGGGTCCATTATAACCAATGGGGCCATTGAAGTCAATGGCAAAAATCCTCTTGAAACTTTGTGGGGGGCTGGGGGGGAGGGGGTTTGGGGTAGAGGCTCCAAACTTGGAGCGTGCTTACTGGAACCTCTCCCCAACATA